CTTCTCTGCTCACAGAAACTCTTACCCAAGTATCATCTAGATGGCAGACTCCTGTATAGAGCACTTTATCAGAAATATTGTTCTAGATTTTCAATTGATAGCACTTTTTACTCCAAACCTTAGTTGAGAATATAGGCTGAACCCATATGAAATTGCCCACATTTGGATCATTTCTGACCACCAAAAAGAAGTGATTTTATAAGGTTCAAACTGAAAACAATTTAGAACAATTATTTCTAATGAGAAGGAAGATGCAGCATGTATTTAAAAAAGTCTATTCATGTTAATTTTTATTTGTTTTTATAATAGTTAACTTATTTTGAAATCTTAAATTATACTAAACAATGGTGCAATTATCTAGTGAAAATACTTTGAAGATGCTCAAATAATGTTTTACCTAAGTTACTCTAGAAACAATATAAGGTTGCTTAAAAGGAGACATAATATTCAACAACAACAAAGAAAGCAAAAACAAGAAAATATGCTTTTTATAATGGTGACCTTGGATTTTTTTCCCTTGCCCAAAGAAGGACAGTTTCAAAATATTGACTGCTATTACTTTGATGTAATTTTAAAGACTTATATGACAATCTTTTTTTTTTTTTTAGACATCAATTTTCACTCCAGCCTTTGAATCAGAAACTAAGGTCAGAATAAACAGTAACATGAACACTGAAGAGGTAATAAAGCAACTTCTTAAAAAATTTAAGGTAATCTTTATCACTGAACTGTTGTATAAATACCTTGTATATAATTTAACTATAGACACATTAATGCTTTTGTCTGAAAAAGACCTATGAAATCTAAAATCAATGTTCAGTTCTGAAGAATTCTTTCCTATGTGTGACACCTTTTATTAATTGTGCCCTGAGAAATTACATTATTCCCAGGGAACAGAGAAGGTTTTATGCTTAAAAATGAAAAATGAAAGTGAGGACATGGGTACATTATTTGGGTCTGATTGGCTTAGAAAACATCATATGGCAACAAATAATTCATGTCTATTTTTTTTCCACTGACAGATTGAAAACAGTGCCCAGGATTTTGCACTTTACATTATTTTTGCAACAGGAGGTAAAAAAGCTTGATCACCCTTTTTACATGTCTGCTGTGTGATACAGTTTTCTGCCCATAGGGAAGGCAGGAGAGCAGTTTACTCCATTTGTGGAAGAATGGGAGAGAAGAAAGAAGGGAGGGGAGGGTGTTTTAGAGGAACCAAAGATAAGGTATCCTGGAAGAGTTTATAATACAAAGAAGTTTGCTTGTTGTCAAACATTCAGTTATCTGAATGGTGATTAGAGCCCTTGAGAAACCATAAAGTTTCCCAGGAACTGTATCAGGAACTATTAAGCATTTAAGTCATCGTTTCTCTCTATGCTCGTTTCTTTTCGGTTTTTCCTTCTCACTGGAGCTCTTACTGGAGTCATCATTACAGATCATTTTTCTCTGATCTTGCTTTTATCTCTTTCTTAGCAGAATGCCTAACACATTGTAGGAGTGTTACTCTTCCTCAGTAGAGAAACATATTCAGAACTTGGCGGTAGGGGGTAAAATGTTAGAACCAGGGCATTGGGAAGGTGCTATGCATGGGATGCTAGGAGCAGCGAGTGAGAAATTAGAGAAAACCCAAGGTGATACTCAAATTTTTGAAAACCTCAAAATTGAAAAAATTGAAATATTGTGTCCCTGGTTATAATTTAGGTGTCAGAATGTCTAAGCCAAAAATAAATAAAATAACACATTTTGATGTCAGAATAACTATAAGAAAATTAAAGCTGGCTCTCAAACATATTAAAAAATTAAAAGCTTAAATATAAGAAATATATATAAATTTTTAAAAATTCTAAGGATATATATATATTTGTATTCTAGTTTAAGAAAAACATTGAAAGGTTTAAAAAGGTAGAAACATGTAAAAAATATAAGCAGTAACTTATGAAGAATATCAGAAAAAAAATTAGTACCTAAAATATCAAAGAGTTCTTGTAACCAATTCAATAAAAATAGAAAGAAGTGTGATAAAGCAATTCAAAGAGTAAAAAATTAAAATGACCAGTAAAGATTTTTAGGAAAAGTCTTAAACTCAAGGAAATACAAGTATTCAAGGAAATTCAGTAGTCAAGGAAATGCAAGTTCAAATCCACAATGCAATATTATCTCACACATCAGATTCGCAAAATGTTTTTAAATGATTCTATCTCTGGCTAGTTTAGATCAAAGTAAAGGATACTTTCATGCAATTCTGGTAAAAATATGACTGTGCTTTTTCAGAGCTCATCATAGCAGTATTTATTAAAATTTACAGTATACATATATATTACTTCTCCCAGCAATCCCACTGGTGAGAATTTATTTCACAAAAATAAAAACACTAATATTTACAGATTTATGTGCAACACTGTTTATAATAACAAAAAGCTAAAGACAAAATGACTTATCATAGTAATGATTAAATAAGTGATTATTATTATTCAGACATTAAATGAAATGAGTTAGATTTATACAATCTGAATGGAGGGAATTCTATGATATACATTAAATGAAAAATGCAAAATCACTTAAAAATCTATACCTACAACCCCAGTTTTGTAAAAGAATTATACATTCCTATTTAAGTATATGGTATATATGATCATATAATCAGGGAGAAATGTATAGAATTATAAATACCATGATTTTTTTAAAAAGATGTCTACAATAAAAATTGCAAGAATATTACCATCTTTATGTGTTGTATATTTGTGAGCATAAAGAGATATATGAAGGGATGGTCATTCAAATTGTAATGCTAATTATCTCACAGTTCTGGGATTCCAGGTGACTTTGACTTTCTGTCTTATACTTCTCCCCATAGTTTCAATTACATTAATGTGTGTATGTGTGTGTATTTGTGTGTTTTGACTTTGCTGAAGAATAATTGAGAATAATTGATGACTATAATTGTATATATTTGAAGTGTACAACATAATGATTTGATACTTATATACATTGTGGAATGATCACCAATATCAAGATAATTAACACATTCGTCACTTCATATAAACTATGTTTTGTGTGTGTTAAGAATACTTCATATCTACTCTCAGCAACTTCCAAGTGCACAATACCATATTATTAACTACTAGAGGCCCGGTGCACAAAATTCGTGCACTTGGGGGGGATCCCTCAGCCTGGCCTACACCCTCTCACAGTCCGAGAGCCCTCGGGGGATGTACGACTGATGGCTTATCTCATTATCATGCCTGAATGGATGAAGCCTACAGATGAATGAAATAATAAAAATACCCCAATATAAAAATATTCTGAATATATTTTTAAAGAAGAGCCAAGGATTGCATGTGGAGTAAGAGAGAAAGGAAGAATTGAAGATAATTACAAAGTATTGGATCTGACTAACTAGAAAGATGGTTTTTTGTTCAACAAAATAGGGAAGAATCAAACATTTGTTGAATAAATGAATGAGTGAATGAATGAATGAAAAGTTATAAAGAATTTTTGCAGTGTGTTGCTTGACAAAAGTCATAAATGGATCTGGAGATTTTTCTGAACATCCTAACCAAAGGCAAGATTGAATTCTCTGAGTCAAACTCTGAGGAATAACAGGAGAAAAAAGTCCACTTTTAGTTTATTTCAAGGTTTTAATTTCAATGTAACTCTTTTGAGTGAGTGCCTCCTCTTATACATGGATTTTTTTAGGTCTTTCAAAGCGAGCTAAAGAAAGAAAATGAATAGCCAAATTACCTTCTTTTTCCCTAGTATGGACTCTTGACTACAGTTGGCTCTTGTTTTCATTTGCAGAAAGGAGACGGCTAAAGAAGACAGACATTCCACTACTGCACAGGCTCCTGCAGGGACCCTCCAAAAAGAACGCCCGCATTTTCCTCATGGATAAAGATACAGAAGAAATTAGCAGTGATGTATGAGTACCACCACCCTGAATCTGTCTTTGCCTCCTCCTGACTGGGCCCCTCTCACATACATATTCTGCTTTCCTTTTTGTGTGTTTTATTTTCAGGTGGCTCAATACATCAACTTTCATTTTTCTCTCCTGGAATCCATCCTTCAGAGATTAAATGAAGAAGAGAAAAGAGAGATTCAAAGAATAATAACAAAGTAAGTCAAGAGCATGCATGCTGGGGTGCTTGTTCCTTTAATAAGTTCAATGTGCTAAATGTGTCCAAATTTTAATACTCTTTTTCTCCTTTTCATTTTCAGATTCAGTACAGAAAAGGCTATTATACTGAAATGTCTTCGAAGTAAACAGGTAGTAAAAACAGAGACGACAGTTTAGTGGCCGCTATTGCTAAAACACTTCAGCAAAATCAGAGAGATGTTACTATTTAATGAGTGTATGCACCCTATACTTGCAGTCATGCAAATATATATGAACTCAAATCTGTAGAAAATTGAATGTTGAAAAAGCTTGTCTCTCTCAGAGGTGATGATGTTCACAGTAGGACTGAAATGAGCTTGAATTTAGTTTCAGTAGCTGAAATAAGCCTGGATACTGTGTATTCCAAATAGCTTTAAGAGAAACAATGAACTGGAATTTAAATGGCGTCTTCAACTTCGCGTAGTTTAAATGTCGTTTAGCTTGAACTGTCAAGAGAACTGGAATATCAACAACCAACTCTCAGAAATGATTCAGAAGTCAAAGCTGCCAGCTCGTGAAATAAAACAGAAGCATATACTTACCCCCACCAAGAAATCTGATGGTGATAGTCTTATAGCTCCTTGAAAACTCTAAAATTTTCATAAAATCTAGGGCTGTCTTTATGTGGGTAGGTGACTTGGCAACCTGAAGCATCAGAGCTATAAATCCTTTGGGAAGGAAAGGATTGTGGACTCTTAAGACTAATTTTCTCATCCTGAGCCCCCTTTTTTGCTGTTTTACTGATGACTTTTTTAAGGATGTTTTTAGGTCAATTGAACTAGTTTTCTTTATTTTTCCAAACATATAAACCACAGAGACTTCACATGGTTAATCAGCTTGGCCAAGACTTGGCCCACAGTAACCATTGTTACTGAATGAAATAGAGATACAAAGGGATATGCAAAGCTCTAATAGCTGAATCTAGGGAAGGAATCTGAAGTTCTGCTCTTTTTCTCTAAGGCATCTCATTCTATAAAACAGTGCTCAAGGTATTTACAAGTTGCTAAACCAATTTGGAAAAAAACACAAAACACTGAGAATGGCACAGTATCATCTGTGTTTTTATTTATGAACTTTATATTAAAATGGAGTTCTATGCAGCTTTTTTTCCATTCTGGAAATTACTTCCATTTGCATTTCTCATATCCATTGTATTAAATTGTTTGGGTTGCAAGCTTGATCCCCAGTAGGGGATGTGCAGGAGGCAGCCGATCAATGATTCTCTCATCATTGATGTTTCTATTTCTCTCTACCTCTCCCTTCCTCTCTGAAATCAATAAAAATATTTTTAAATAAATAAACTTAAAGTACCATCAAGTACCTGTCATAAACATGACAAAAGATTTACCTTTAATATATTGAAAGTCTACAGAATCCATAAGAAAAATACTCAAAGTGTCAGATAGATAAAAAAAGGCAGATGAGATGTAAAGTAAAATCACAGAAGAGGAAATGCAAATGGCTACTAAGTATATGAAAAACTTGTATCTTAACGTAATCCATTAGTCTGTGTCCAATCAGCAGACAGAAACCACACAGTCATTTAAACAGGGGTGTTTAGTATAAAGAATTATTAAGCTGTGATAGGAGAATAACTAAAAGATGGAAAGAGGATGCTAAAGGGTTGTCTATGGCTGAGGGAGGAAAAGCTTGGAACGAGGGATTCAGAATTCACTGGAGAAGGTGTGGTTGCAGCCCACTGGACGGAGGAGAAGTTGGCTGGGTGCCCACACCAAGCAGGGCCACAGCCACAGGGCAAGCAGGAAAACAACCTCTGGGAGGTGGACCAGCTGGGGCAGGTGGGCAGGTGTGCAGAGAGACCTGGGACTTCGCTGCAGGGGCAAGGCTCAGATCACATAGGGTCTGTGTCTGGAGGTCCCCAGGAAACGGTTGCAGTGGTTCTCAACCTTCCTAATGCCGCAACCCTTTAATACAGTTCCTCATGTTGTGGTGACCCCCAATTTCATTGTTACAAATTGAACATAATTAAAGCATAGTGATTAATCACAAAAACAATATGTGTTTTCCGATGGTCGTAGGCGACCCCTGTGAAAGGGTCGTTCGACCTCCAAAGGGTCGCGACCCACAGGTGGAGAACCGCTGGTTTAGAGGAACAGGAAGCCGAGGCTGCAGGGTCAGCACAGAGAGTCAGGGACGCTGCTAGGACTGGGAGCCGGAAGGGCCTCCTTTGAAGAAACCTAGGACAACTCTGTGTATGATTTGGTTCTGTGGCACCTTTAAGGCTGCATGGGATAAAGGCCAGGCAAGTGGCTCACCAGATGGCCAGCCCACAGGGCCCTCTCAGGGAACATGCACCATGTTGAGGAGAAGGTGCAGAGAGCTATGATGTGAGTAGGGCACAGGCCTGCCCTGGGGCTCCAGGTTATGCCACCACAAACCCAATCAAAAACTGGGAAAGCAGTGGGGGAAATAAATGCTACAGAAAGCTGCTAGCCACCGGCAACCAGCACTGGGCAGAGCAGTGGAGAAAAAAGTCGGCCACCCAGCCAGCCACTAGGAATCAGGAAAGACAGACTTCCTCCTACGGTGCTTCTCCAGTGCCCTCTGCTGGCAAAGCATGGCATCCAAGCTGCCAAGAAAACATAAAGGGTCCATATCCATTTCACAAAGCTGACAGCAAAGAATGAATTTGGAACAGAGAGGCAAAAAGTAACTGGCATGTCAACAAACACAAATTAAAGAAAAGTAAAATATACTTTTTGGCCTATTAAATAAGTAAAGATTAAGAAGGGACAATATTAAATACTCAACAAATTACAATGAGATGGACGCTCAAACTACTGTAGCAATACAAATGTATATAACTAGAAAGCAATTAAGCTATAATTTCATATTATAATTCTATTTTTAGAATCTTATATTGAAATAATCAGTCATACAAAGACATTATGCAAATATACTTACTATATTCCTATTTATTGTTGTAAAAAAACCCAAATAGCCTAAATATCAAATATAGAAGAAAGATGAAAGAAGGAAAGAAATACTTATCCATAGAATGTTATGCAGCTATTAGAATTATTCCCAAATTAATTTTAATTATAGGAGTAAATTCTCCTTATGTACCTAAATAAGACTATACACACAAATATTCTAAAACATTTCCTATCCATAAAATATGTGTTTATATGTGTGTGAACACTGGTATTTGTACATACAACTCAAACTGAAGACATGTTCAATATGGTTATGTCTGGATTATAGAATTATCGATGATTCACTTTTTAAAAATTTTCTCTGCTTGTTAAATATTTTATAATGAACATGTGTTACTTTTTAAATCAGGAAATGCAAAAGCTGTGATTAAAAAGTTACCAACAAAAAATAGCAAGTACATGCAAACAGTTCTACTACATGCAAAAAAGTTCAACTAAATTATTTAAGTGAGGCATTAACATCACTTCTGTGGTAGTTGGAAAATATATCCATAGTGTCTTTGTACTCCCTCTTTCAGGAGTATAGCCTAATCTTCCTCCCTTTACAAATGGATTGGACTTAGTGACTCAATCCCAATGAATAGAGGAAAGCGGAAGTGACAGCATGTAACTTTGGAGACTAGGTCATCAAGTCACTGTGGCATCTTCCTTGCTCACTCTCATGGACCACTGGCTCTGGAAGAAGCCAACTGCCATGTTCAGAGCAGCCGTGGGGAAAGGCTTACATGAGGAGAACAGAGACCTTTTGCCAAAAGCCAACAATGAATTGGGGCCTTTCATCCATAGCCATATGCGTGGGCCATGAGATAGCCTTAGTCAAGCCTTCAGATGATTACATCCCTGTCTAATAGCTATAACCTCCTGAGAGACCCTGGCCCAGAAAACTCCGCTAAACCTGCCCTGGATTCCTGATCCTCAGAAACTGTGTGAAATAAGAAATATGTGTTGTAGGATGATGCTAAATTTTATACTTATTTGTTATATCACAATAGATAACTAATACAATTTCTAAGGCCAAAAATCTGTTCACTTTAGAGTCATCTTTGCAAAATAAAAGAATATAAATTTTTGTCACAAAACCATTTATCCTTGTCTTAATGGTCTTATTTCACCACCAGTTATACAATAGTTCAGATTTAATTCCAGATATTATACTTATTAATGATAGAGGACCTGTCTTTGGATACCTTGCTGTACTTAATGATATGTCTTGTGTATAGAATGTGCTCAATAAAAATCAACTGAATAAAGGCCGGAGTGAATTAGTGAAGAGGCAAATAAATTATTTGAAATATTTTTATAAAATCCCCTGTATGTATGCCTCCTTTTTCACAAATATGGTCCAGCTGCTGAAGAAGTACAAACAGAGCCTTTTCTATATGATTTCCCCTGATATGATGGTATAGTTTATTATCTCTTGGCTGTGTGAAGTATTCAGATATTTCAGTGTTACTATTCCGTGTTACTGTGACATCTTGTTTAGGGCTAATCAGATTGGTTTCAGAAACTGAAGGGGCCAAAGTCCATTCGCAAGGCAGTTGATGAGGTGGAAAAGCTGTCAGGTGTACTATTATGTTGGTATATCTACACATGAAAGAAAAAAGGAGTAGGAGGACAAAGGCCTTTAATGGCATGCATTTGTCTTATAAATTAATAATAATAGCTAGAACCTATTAGATTGAGCCATTTTGTCAATATTTGACCTACAAAAGCAGCAATTCATATTGTTCAAACTAATAGCACTTACCATTTGTGAAGCACTATTTTAAATCATATATACATATATATATATATATATATATGTAGATATACTCATTAAATGTTCACTGAGTCTCATGAGGAAATTACTCCTTCAACCCAATTTTATAGATGAAGAAAAGAAGCCACGAAGGGGTTAGGAAGCTAGGTAGACATCAAATCTATGGCTTCAGAATCCACACTTTTAAACCACCTCAGGCTGTGGCTTCACCCTAAATCTCACTCCCTCAATCTGGCATCCTTTATGTGTCCTCATTTGTAAAATGGGAATAATAGTATCTACTTCATGAGATGGTTGTAGGAGTTATAGGAATGATACATGTAATAATATGATCAAAATACATGGGTGGTTGGCAGTTTGCACAGAAGTGTGTGATAAATATCAGCTGTTATAATTAAACTATGATATGTCCCCTCCCATCATTGTAGCCCTATCTTCCACTAAATCTTATGCCCACTACTTGATTCTTGTCTTAAAACTAGTCAAATCATTGCTTGAAACACCTCACACTTTACCACATCTCTCTCTGTTGAAACTATGCCCATTTTCTAGTCCTTGACCATGACCTTTCCTGGTCTCCATGACAATGTGTGCATCAATACTCCTGTGCATCATATCATCAATTAGCTGTGCTCTGATTTCTGATACCAGAAATTCGAAACGTGCCCTTTATTGTAAGTCCTTATGTGTTTATATCTTGTATGAATCCATTAGTGATCTGGGCTTATCATATTCAAGTTATTCTCTGCAGCACCTAGCACAGCATATTGAACATCAGAGTTACTTAACAAATGTTTATTGGGTTTAACTTGCTAGTGTATATAAGTATGCTGAAATCATTAGAGTGAGAAAACTATTTAGAATCAAGTAAAGAGCACTATAATGAAAACTACATTTTTTCTCTAGTAGAAATAATTCACTTATTTAGTAAGCACTAAAATATTTCAACTTATTTTTTTTCTTACAAAAAGAGATCTGGAAAAGTTAAAAAGTCCATGATAAGTTCTTTATGTCATTTATGCCAGGATTTCTGGGGAAAAGACTATTATAAATTGTCACTGAAAGCTCAATTTAATTTAAATATAGTAGGACCCATTGGTTCCAATGTCAGCATCATGTATATAGTGTAAAGATGGAAGACAAAATAATCATGAAAGTAACTTTATTACAAAGCACACTTCCTTCAGTTCTTCGATGATCACTTTTAGAAGTGGTATAGACAGAAGCTCCGGTTGCATTTGGGATATTTTTTACTCTAAAAACCCAGCAGCCAGTTTCCAGTGGATACGGCAGCCCATTCCATCTACCTGAGGCTCTTCACAGATGCCTTGACTTCCTATTTCTGTTGCTGATTCTAAGAAGCAGAAAGATTATGGGAGGAATGGAGAATAAAAGTGGGTTGTACAATAAGCAGATTTTTCTGCTGAGTAGGAAAGGAGAATTCAGTGTAGACTGGCTAGAGTTCTTGAGCAATGTTGTGAGTAGATGAAAAATAATTGCTGGTTTGAATATTAGACACGGGGTTCATTATTCATGAAGAACAAAATGCAGATCTCAGCAATCACCCTACACTGACATTTCTGGAATCATTTAGCCTCCCAAGAGAGACCGGCACTTTTCTATCAGTTTGGACTCCTAAGGAAAAAAGGAAATAAGCACATCTGTGAGAGAGGGAAAAACAAACAAACAAAAACATTTAAACAGTTCTGCCCCCCATATCGAACATCTTTAAGGCTTCCCTATTTCACTCCTGAGATGGGCTCTGAGTGCCTGCTTCTCGCTGTCTTAGAATTTCCCACAGGCCCAGTCCCTTAGCTTAAGGATTTAATTAACTGCAATGTTTCTCCCACTTTCTGGACCCCAGACCTGTAATAAATAAAAATTTGCTGCCTCCTCACAAAAAAAAATATGGGATGCTTTTGCTGCAAGGCAAAAATGGACAATCAACATCAGCTTCTCACTGAATTTTAAAACTGCTCTAGGCTAATTTTGAGCTAAATCATCACATAGCCAAGTACAGGAACTCAAGAGGAACAAAACCCCTAAAATAGATCAGAATATCTCTACCCCCTTCATATATACTGCTATAGACCGCTACATAAATTACAGCAGTTTTCCACAATTTTTACCTTCTAGATGTTTTTTAAACAAAAATTACTTGTGATAAATAAAAGTGAGATTTTTAGCCCTGACCAGTTTGGCTCAGTGGATAGAGTGTCGGCCTGCGGACTGAGGGGTCCCAGGTTCAATTTTGGTCAAGGGCATGTACCTTGGTTGCAGGCACATCCCCAATAGGGGGTGTGCAGGAGGCAGCTGATCGATGTTTCTCTCTCATCGATATTTCTAACTCTCTCTCCCTCTCCCTTCCACTCTATAAAAAAATCAATTTAAAAAAAGTGAGATTTTTAGCAAAGTGGTATGGGACCCCCAGAACTCCAATGCTAAGATACACACACACACACACACACACACACACACATGGAATAAATGGCTTACACTCCTAAGAGCCCCTAGGATCCTGTGGAAAATATTAGAAGTCTATTAATTTAGTCCTCCTTCCTGTTCTCAAACAGCACCACACCTGAATTATCTAGAGAGATTGGAATCTATTTAGGCTTGTTTTTAAAAATAAGTCTGGAGTTTAAGTATGGTCATTTCTTTGGTAAGCCATGACTTTTATATCAATCTTCATAAGAACTTTGCTATAAGCAACCTCAAGATTCTCATATTTAATCTTGTTCATTTTCTCTGAATCTAACAATATTGGGGGAACTCATATTTCTACATATCAGTCTTTCCTGACCTTACTTATTCCATAGTTTCTTATTTGTTATGATAACAAATGCTGGAGAAGGAGGAAAGAATTTTTTGGTAAAGATAAGGAAGAAGGGAGGTGCTGGAAAAGATTACTATAATAATGAAGAATGCCCAAAATGAGATAAGAAGTGATGATAATTCCACATTTTGAGATAAGGCCCAAGCAAGATTTTGAAATACAAAATATGGACTTCTCTGATGGAATGTAGATAACAGAGAAGAGAAAGAGGAAACATCTTACCCTGAGACCAAATCAGCCATTCTTTGATTTCCCATAATGCTGGACACGTTGGGAGACTGTTGGCATGTCACCCTTCCTAAGACTTTGGGATAGACATTACCAGTTTATTTCTCCATATCCTTTGGGACATACTTTTAAATCCTTTTTCCAATCTGGAAACTCTTTGAACATAATTTGCCAATATACTTTTAAAATGTGTTGTCTCTCATCTTTTCCAAAATTACAATTCAATAACAGTAAAAATGTACAAAAATTTTTAAAGAATAAAGCCCTATCAATCCCACATCAATGTAAGAGACATTGATGAAGTTCTGGGAAACCAAAGGAAAGCCTTTGGTATGATATTAACTGATATACCAAAGTGTAGAAATAGGAGCTCAGAATAGGAGCTCAGAATAGTGAAGAGGTGTACCAGCACTAGAAGACCAGAGAGTCATTGATCTGAGCTCCTTTGGCTCTTTTCTGTTGCCTAGCCTATTTTTTAAACTTCCTAAAGATTCCTGAAGCCACCACTATCCTTTCAATACATTAATTTTTACTTAGGTTAGCTACAATTTAATCCTATTATTTACAACCAAAGAATCCCAACTGACATAGCATCAAAATACTGTGCAAATATATGGATAAAATAATATTTAAAAATATGAGGACCCAGAAACCTGATCTTCCTTGTGACCATTTCAAAAAATGCATACAGCCCAACCGGTGTGGCTCAATGGTTGAGCATTGACCTATGAACTCAGAGGTCACAGTTTGATTCCCAGTCAAGGCACATGCCAGGGTTGTGGGCTTGGTCCCCAGTGGAGGGCATGCAGGATGCAGCCTATCAATGATTCTCTTTCATAATTGATGTTTCTATCTCTCTCCCTCTCCCTGGTCCTCAGAAATCAATAAAAAAAATTTTTTTTAAAGAAAAAAAATACATACAAAAGTAAACTTGACCAAACTTTAGAGATGATGCATAGTTACCTATAATAAACATTTTAGAAGTAATTCTAACAAATTTTAATTAACATAATATTTTTTTAGATAATTTCTATTATCTCCTTTAGTTTGGAGAAAATAGAAGATGAAGAGGAGGGAAAGGAAAAATATTTGGGCTCTTCAACTATTTGGTTGAAAATTACTATTAGGCAAAAAAGTGTGGGGAAAAGCACACAAAAATCTTGCTGTCATGCTAATAATGAAATAGATGGAGCAAGCACAGTTCATACTCAAGAGCAAGAAAACTTTCTTGGGAATGCCCAGGCACATGCCCTTCTGCAAAAGTGTTTATTTGTTGTTACTCAGGTAGAGACATGTTTTCTGAATACTTCACAAAAAAAGTAAAGAGGCTTTAAAATAACTAAATAAGTTCTAGAAGAGGTGATTATTTTCATTTTGTGTATTGGCTAGTCTGGGGGTCAGCAAATTTTTTTCTGTAAACAGCCAGATAGTAAATATGGAGGGTTTTGCAGTTACTACACAGTTTCTGATACAACTTAATTCTGCAACTACTCAATTCTATTATTGTAGACAGAAAGCAGTGGTAGACATTATGTAAATAAATGGGCATGCCATGTCCCAATACAACTGTATTTACATAAACAGGAAGTGGAACCAATTTAGCCTGAGAGCTGTAATTTGCCTACTCTTTACTTGACTATAGATATATGACTTTTAATATAACACACATAATATAGCTGAATAGGTAGAAAAGAGCTACTGAAGGTAACTAGGCATTCATGAAAATTGCTACCTATAAAAACATTTTCATGGGCCATTGCTAAACTTAGCCCCAGTCCTAACCAGCCTCAGCTGGTTTTAGTTTTGACTGTAAAGGCTGCTTTATTATGATTTTTTAGCTTTATCCTTGAATTTTTCTGCTTAGATACTATTAGCTACTGTATCTGAGTTTCTGCTCCTCAAGTCATGTCCCTGGAAGAGCAATCCGTTCCAACTCCTCTCTATTAATTTACATGAATATTCTGTGCCACCATGAAATTTAAGTCACACAACTTTATCATCTTAAGAAAAGTCATTTACTTGTTAACTATATGCAATTACATTAATTACTGAAAACAGTCTCCTGGTAGGCAGTTCAGTGTGTGTGCAGAGAGATACTCTGTTCTGGCATTTGTTCTTTCTCTTTTCTCCAATCCCTAATCTAGTGATCTGCCTACTGAGAAAATAAAATCTTTATGTTTCCTAGTTAAACCCCAAATTACATTTGGTGACTCTTCCTGATTGTGCCCTTGAAAATTTCTAGAACAAAACTACAGTTTTCTCAGACAGATCTTTAAACTGTTATTTCTTTAAAATTTCTCTATATTTCCAAGGACTCCATTTCTCTACAATTACCGAGTCTTCAATTCACCTTCTGCTCACTTCCAATCCTAAACAACCCCAGTACATCTGGTGGCATGACCCTTGTATTCATCTCTAATCATGTTTAACACTCCTAGTTTCCTCAAATAAATATAAATATTAACATATCCTAAGATATCCTAAACCCAATTACACCAGTCGATCTAGATCAGCCATTTTCAACCTGTGTGCCGCAGAATTTTTAAAACATGCAATACCTGACTAGTCAGTCAGGGGCACTGACCTCTTTTCCATTTCAGTGGTTCTCAACCTTCTGGCCCTTTAAATACAGTTCCTCATGTTGTGACCCAACCATAAAATTATTTTCGTTGCTACTTCATGGCTGTAATGTTGCTACTGTTATGAATCGTAATGTAAATATCTGATATGCAGGATGGTCTTAGGCGACCCCTGTGAAATCGTCGTTCGACCGCCAAAGGGGTCGCAACCCTCAGGTTGAGAACCGCTGCAGATTATCAAATTAAAAAATAATAATAGCCAAAACAATGACTGCCAATATGAATACCCTGTCTCTTTTTTAAAAATATATTTTTATTGATTTCAGAGAGGAAGGGAGAGGTAGATAGAAACATAAATGATGAGAGAGAATCATTGCATGCCCCCTACTGGGGACTAAGCCCACAACCCAGGCATTAAACAGTGACCTCCGGCCTCAAAGGTCAATGCTCAATCACTGAGCCACTCTGGTCAGGCATGAACGCCTTGTCTTGAACCATAAATAGATAAGTCATATAATAGAGTTGCATCTTATTGGTCATGTTGCATAATAAGGTTGTGTCTGAGTGGTTAATTCTTTGGACCAGAAATTCTTATATACAAGTATAGGCAACTGCTTTTTTAAAAAAGTCACATTAGAGCAAAAAGGGTAAGAAATTACTATTATATTCTTGTAAATCAATCAAAATTATACCTGTTTTTGGTCACATAGGCAAAAAGTATATTTTTTGATATACTGCTAAATTTTAGTAATACTTTATATGTGCCATGAGATGAAAAAGGTTGAAAATTGCTGATCTAGACTGTGATTTTTTCCCTGATCCACTACAGATTGGAATGGAGAAAAGAGGGTTTTAAAAAAAAAAAACTTTAATAAGTCCTAAGAGTGCTAAGAGAATAGACAAGGAAACAGGAATACCTCTTCTTGGAAACATGTTTCACGTTTTTCTGCTTGGCAGCACATTTTCACCAGCTGAGTAAAATCCACAATAATTGGTTGGAACTGCATCTCTGTTGCATATGGTCTCTGTTTCACAAGGTTGCTGAGGAGCCTGAATCAGAAATGAGTTGCAAAAATAAAAGCACCTGTGGTTTCTACAAGAATAAACTCAAAATAGAGTAAAGGTTTAAATGTAAGACTCGAAACAAAAAAGTCTTAGAAAAAAACATAGGGAGTAAAATCTCTGACATCTCTCTTAGCAATATTATTTCTGACATCTCCTCAGGCAAGGGGAAATAAACAAAGTAAGTAAGTAAGTAAATAAATAAATAAATAAATAAACAAACAAACAAATAAATAAATAAATGGGACGATAACGAACTGAAAAGTTTTTGCACAACAAAGGAAAGCATAAAAAAAAAGAAAAGATAATCTACTGCTTGGAAGAAAACATTTTCCAATGATACATCCAATAAGGGTGTTAATAATCCAAAATTTAGAAAACTCAGACAACTCAACACCAAAATAACAAACAATACAATTAAAAAGTGGACTTGACATTTTCCTAGAAAGGACATACAGACAACCAATAGATATATGAAAAGATGCTCAACATCTCTAATCATCAGAGACATGCAAATTAAAATCACAATGGGATATCACCTCACACTGATCAGAATGACTATCATCAGTAAATCAACAAACAAGTATTGGTGAGAATATAGAGAAAGGGAACCCTGATACTCTGTTGGTGGGAATTCAAATTGGTGCAGCCACTGTGGAAAATAGTATGGAGTTTCCTCAAAAAAATTAAAAATGGAACTGCCTTATGACCCAGCAATTCCATTTCTGGGTATATTCCCAAAGAAATCCAAACCACTAATTTGAAAAAAATATATGTATCTCTATGTTCATTACAGCATTATTTACAACAGTCGAGCTAGGATGCAACCCACATGCTCATCAGTAGACTTCATAAAAAACAGTGATACATATATATAAGGGAATATTAGTCATAAAAAAGAATGAAATCTTACCACTTGTGACAGCATGAATTTCTATAGCTGGGACTCTGTTCCATATGGAAGCTAGACCCCACAAACAACTATGTCACATACTTGTCATAAACTTGCAGTTGACTTACCTCTTCTGCCCTTTTCAACCCTTCCCCACTATGATCGATTTCTCTCAATCCGACTGCTTTTATTTAAAAATATTTCCTTTAATCTTTCTATTCTTTTAGTTTAAAAATGTTTAATTTACCTTTTTAATGTATTACTAGAAGCCCGGTACACAAAAATTCCTCAGCCCATCCTGTGCCCTCTCACAGTCTGGGAGCCCTCATTCCTTACTGCCTGCCTGCTCGTTGCTCCTTACTGCTAGGCTCACTGCTTTTTGCGCTGCCTCAGAGGCAGCAGAAGCTCCTGCCACTGCGTCTGTGCTCACCAGCCATGAGCCTGGTTTCTGGCTAAGCAGAGCTCCCCTGGTGGGAGTGCACTGACCACCAGGGGGCAGCTCCTGCATTGAGCATCTGCCCCCTGGTGGTCAGTGTGCGTCATAGTGACCAGTCATTTAGGCTTTTATTATATAGGAGTAGAGGCCCGGTGCACAAAAAATTTGTGCACTTGGCGGGGGGGTCCCTCAGCCCGGCCTGTGCCCTCTCGCAGTCTGGGACCCCTCGGGGAATGACTACCTTCTGGCTTAGGCCCACTCCCCGGGGAATTAAGCCTAAGCTGGCAGTCAGACATCCCTCTGGCATCCCAGGAGCCCTCAGGGGATGTCCACTTGCCAGCAGGGAGCAGGCCCAAGCTGCAGTCAGACATCCATAGCGCTGCTGAGGAGGTGGGAGAGGCTCCCACCACCACCGCTGTACTGGCAGCTGTCAGCCTGGCTTGTGGCTGAGCAGAGCTCCCCCTGTGGGAGCGCACTGACCACCAGGGGGCAGCTCCTGCATTGAGCGTCTGCCCCCTGGTGGTCAGTGTGTGTCATAGTGACCAGTCATTCCCAGTCATTCTGCTGTTAGGGTCAATTTGCATATTACCCTTTCATTATATAGGATAGAGGCCTGGTGCATGGGTGGGGGCCAGTTGGTTTGCCCTGAAGGGTGTCCCAGATCAGGGTGGGGGTCCCGCTGGGGTGCCTGGCCAGCCTGGGTGAGGAGGTGAAGGCCGTTTTCAGACTGGCCACACCCCCTTCAGGGTGGGGATCCCCTCTGGAGTGCCTGGCCAGCCTGGGTGAGGGTCTGAGGGCCATTTTCAGGCTGGCCGCACCCCCTTTGGGGAGGGGGGTCCTGCTGGGGTGCCTGGCCAATCTCGGTGAGGGGCTTATGGCTGTTTGCAGGCTGGCCAAGCCCCCCAGCGGGGACCCTCACCCCATAAGGGTGTGGCCATCCTGGGTGAGGGGCTGATGGCTGTTTGCAGACTGGCCACGGTCCCAGTCCCCCAAGCTCCCAGTGGAGGCTGGCTGGAAGCAGGTATCTGGGATTTATTTATCTTCTATAATTGAAACTTTGTTGCCTTGAGTGGAGTCCACAGATGGCCAGGGCAGGCAAGAAACTTGGCTTCCTCCATTGCCAGGGCAACCAAGCCTCCTGCTTGCTCCAGCTCTGTGGCTGCCGGCCACAATCTTGGCTGGGTTAATTTGCATATAATTGCTCTGATTGGCTGGTGGGCATGGCTTGGGGCATAGCGGAGGTGCGGTCAATTTGCATGTTTCTCTTTTATTTGATTAGATATTTTATTTTTAATTTTCAATGCCATCAACTTGTTTTCAGTTTTTCATTTCTAGGGTATTAATCTTTTATTTTCATCAAATTTATGCACCATTTTATATACTGTCTTAAATCTTCACATTTCAACTCAATAATTTTCATAATTGGACTTGAAATTCTTTTTCACCTATTTCTTTTTATTTTCTCAATTTTAGTCCATGACTTCAACTTCTACTTTCCCTTTATTATCCTGCTGAATATTTTCTTTTCCCTCCATGAGCCCCTTCCCTTGTTTTTTGTTTGTCCATTCATTTGTTGTAGTGTGTGTGTGTGTGTGTGTGTGTGTGTGTGTGTGTGTGAATTTATGCTTTGATGACCAGCCAGAATTATATAAGGGTGAGACCATGGAGAGAGCCCTTGACACTATACTGGGAAGTGGGAGGGTTTTTTCCAGCATGGTCTTTGACTCCCAATGTGGATCTACCCAGGATGGTTCATAATAACTGTCTTGGTGTTAATTATACAGAGAACACAATGAATTCCCTGGAATAAGAATGTTTCCTAATACTTCACACTTCTTATCAAGCCCTTATATGAAGAGTTCCATGTTATTACACATAATAACCAGTACTATAACCCTTTGGTTAGGGCACACTCATAGCTAGATGTTTGCAGTTAAGCACATATTCTTTGACCCAGACTGCTTGGGTGCAAATTCCAGCTCAGCAACCTAGCTACCTGTTGCAGGACCTCATATCAGGTTTTACTTTCACCGCCTCAGTTTCCTCATAATTAAAATGAAGTCACAACATTACATAGCTCATACATTTTGTGGTAAGAATTTAGTGAGATGACATATATAAAGTGGTGCCTTTCTATGCCCAGAGAATTTCCTCAAAAGAAAGTAAAGCCTACACTCTAGAAGTAAAACAGACTTCTTTCTCCTCATATTTCCACATCAAGCTTGGGCTAAAGAAAGAATGGTTAACTCAATGTTACAATGTACTTTGGGTGCTTGTTGGAAAGTTTGAAAGTCTAGTTTGTGATCAGGTCACCTTGGGAAATGAAGAAATGTCAGCTGGCTACTGAACTGCAAGTACTGTGATAAAACAGAACATGTGACAACCTTGTGCTTGGTGATCATGAGAAGGTGCTCATTCCCAAGGCAACATAACCTCACTTTGCAAGTTGATATTGTTGGACTAATATTTAGATATTGTACAAGCAAGACTTAGAGTAAATAAATGAATTGTAAATAAACTACCACTTCAAATGCTCTTGGGGGAGAAAGAGCAAGGAGGACCAGGGGCATGTGAGAAGGGCAGGAAGTATGGTGGGCACTGTATGGGAACTGCCCCACTGTCAGAGTTTGGAGGACTTTCAATGCATCCTGCTGACTCCGAGAAACCAGAATTTCATGCTTTGGCTTTTCCTAGAACAGTCACCTTTTGTTGATGCCAAATGGCTTTCAATATCACATCCATCCGCAGCAGAATTCATTCTAAGGGAGAATGCCTGGACCATGGGGTATCTTGGCTCTAGGCTTAAGTGTGGGGTGGGGTAAAGAGATGGATGATTGATGCCACTAAGATATTTCTTTGTCTGCAGCAGCAAAGAAATAGCCCCTTTTCTAAGACCTGATCATAAGTGTTCCATTCCATCTATCCATGTGTATGGGATAGGGAGAATTTGGGGAAACGTCAGTCACTTGTGAGCTCTTAATCACCTATGCTTTCAGTAGCCAGGGGCAAGAGCAGCTGCCTCAGGTTTGTGTGTGCTGCATGTGTTATTTTTAAGGCTAAGCTGGTCATGCCTCAGCCACCTCAGTCACAGTCAGAAGTCTAAGTCTCCCAGATTATCTGTCATCATACTGATGCTTCTACATCCCTACTCTGACCCATCTCCTACTCTTAGGGCCCTCTCTAACTCATCCTCTGTCTCCTTTGTAACTTTAGGCTTTCTCATTTAAAAGCCTCTCTATATCCACAGCCTTTTTTCTTAACTTCTCTTTCTTGCTCTATGGGAAAACATGGCTCCCCAGGGAAACAGCTTCCCTAAGCCTCTAAAAAGAAGGCTATTTTTGCTTGAACTCCACTTACTTACCACCTTGTTTTCTTTTACTACTTACAACACATCCCTCCTACAATGTCTTTTAAAAGCCATAGTTTCTTCTAAGTATATGTCATCAATTTATAATATCCCCCATCCCTATCTATTCCTATCACACATAAGAAACTTAGTCATGCCACCTAATTTTTGATGGCCTCAGACCCAATAAATTGCCTCACTTTCCATCATATCTTGACATTCATCATTGTCTGTAATTTCAACAACTACATTAATAATTCACATGAGACTGATTAAAAAAATGGACCCAATTGTCTATATTTCTCTGTATCCATGCCCTTTCCAACTCTGCTTATCAAGAAGTAAAGTCTATTTCTATATCCTTTTAATTTGGTCCTACAGAATCTTAGTAGATTCTATGGCCCAGATGATGATAAGTTAGAACAAGCTAAATAGATTAGTGCGGGACTTCTCCAACTTCCATTGTTAATGGAAAGTATACATTTCTGAGAAGAGCAAGGATCAAACTTATTTGATCATGGAACCCTATTTTTATGTACTTCTATGTCAATATTTTCTGATTAATAGACTTCAATCTCATTTTCTGATCAAGTTTGGGCAGCACCCATGATAGCCACAATTGCAGAATTGCATAATATTCTCAATTCTACTTGATCTCCTAACATAATATTTAGCAGCTCCATTCATTATGTAGCACTTAATATCTGCACCTGTTTTGTGGTTCTCTATACCTGCTCCTTTGTTGGCAGTAATGAACAAATTCAACAAAAATTCTTACTTTTGCTTTTCAATTTGTATTTCCTCCTCTTGAGCTTTGCACAAGTCCTCTTTAAGGCTGATGATTTGGTCACAGGATAAAAGTGGAGAAATATAGGTTCCATCAATGTGCAGATCATCAAAGCATAGCTTTCTGAAGGCATAAGAATCATCACAACAGTGACCCACACCGGCATTGATAGGCTGTGTCTCATGTCTTCTGCATAAAGCTCCAAGAATTAGCTTAGCCTTTCCCAGAAGAGAAGTAAAATAAGAGCGATTAGGTTTGCGGTTGTTATTTTCTTACCCACAGAAAACAAGGTTATATTTAAGTATTCTCACACTCTAGCGCCTTGATTTCACTGTTTGGGGGAAAGGAAGAGTCAGGTGCAGCCTAGTTCTGAGACTTGGCTTCCCTCGTCCTATCATCCTCAAGTTGAGTTCACCCTATGAATTTCTATATATCTGGCTGCTCATCTCTGTCTTTTATTATATCCTTTAATCAACTGATAAACATAAGGGACAGAATTATTAGGCTCTATGGATAGGTCATAGATGTATCCTGACATGAGATTGCTTGCTGAGGGTTAGAGATTAGAACTTCAAGAACAGGTAAACATGAAGTCACGGATGTGCTTACCGCGTCCTCCATGCAGACAAACTGCTGTTCATCACTCAGAGGGCAACATTTGGTGGCGGCAGCTGCCATGTTCTTTGTGAACATAACCAACTCTTGAGCAGATAGTTGTGGGGCTTTCTTAGTATAATGGACCAGGAGCCTGAAAGAATAAGTTCCTCTTACAATGACTGTGTGCCTAAAATGACGAATTCTATGGAGTTTACCTCAATATCTGATATTGTCTCTGATTGAGGTTGAACATGGCATTAAACTGGGTTTAATTCTATCCTTTCAGTCCTTGTTCCAATAGCCCAGTGGCTTATTCAATATACCTGGCATTCTCTTCCAACCTCACACACTGTAATGTTAACCATGTTACCTAGAGAAGGGTTCTTCAAAGAAACACTGCCACTTTGGGAGTTTTCTCTCTTGCTTTCATGTGACCTTATTTATGTGGAAGATTAGTACTATGCCCCTAATTACACCGGTATTCAGTAAAATCCTATGTTTCTGTTTCTGTTTACTGGGAAGATTTAGCTTTATAGATTTTTTCCCTCTCAATATGTAACATTTGGAAAAATATCAATCTCTTTCATATACAATGTGGAGACATGTGAATATCCATAACAGTTTTCAACTTGTTTCTGTTAAAACTGTATCTTTAGGAATATAATTTGAATAACTTGGTCTTGTCAGACTCTGAAGACTTCAGTAATTATTGTCTTCAGGGAAAAATAACCTACAAAAATTTTGCTCCACACTAACCTATCTTTTTTTACTTATCAAGGATAACTATGATAGCTAATTTGGATTGTGCAAAATCAGATGTGAACAGGTTCCAAAATAAGTATATGCATAGACCATTCTAGCTGTTATCGGTTGTCTACAATGTGAAAGAGTAGGTACTACAGCAATGATCAGGAAACAATCACTAGGGATCACACTCTAGTCGGGAGAGAGACAAATACACTTGGCGGAGTGAGAGGAGTACAGAGTGCTGGAGGTGCGCATAGAATGTAAGTGCACAGGGAAATCGGACAGGCCTCCTGGAGGAAATGACATGTGAGCTGAGATCTGACAGTAACTAAAAATGAGCTGGGTTGAGGGGAATGAAAGTGGAAGGAGAACCTTTTGGAAGTCATTGAATCTGATTTTTTCCCCCTTGATTGGGGGGGAGGGGGTAGCTGTAGAAAGGAGAGGAAAGATAGGTTAGTAACAGAATTAGATTTACAATGTTTTTAACATAATCATGGTTGTTGTATAAAGAATGGATTGGAGGTGGCACAAGGCAATGAGAGTGAAGAAAAAATCTGAAGGCCATTCCAGTCATTTAGGTGAGAGATGGTGGTAGCCTGAACTAGGAGAGTGGTGGTGGGAATTGAGAGATATAAAGAGAGATTTTTAAAGAGAAAGACTCTACAGACTTGGATTCAAGGAGAACAAAAAAATCAGAGACAATTCTTGCATTTATATTATAACTAGAGGCCCCAATCACAAAAATTTGTG